TCAACTTGAAGATTTGTTCACTAAGCCTTTAGATTTCAATAGATTCGTTAATCTATGAAAGTCCATTGGTATTTGTGAGAACTAATGATGTGTATGAGTGACTGTGATCTTGGACAGGAATGCGTGCAGGGACGGGCTCAGAAGTGACAGTAAAGCATGTTTTAAAAAATGATTCTCTGTATATGTAGTATCCAGTGGAAGAAGGCTGCCTGGGGTGCCGTCTCTAGTTGATGAGTACAAGTTGCACTGATTAATAGACTGACATACGAACTGGAGAGTGTGTGAGTCCTCAGATGATCCAACAAACGAAAAAACAAAGAAAAAAAGGGGTGCTGATAATTCACTGTTGGATCACTGACAAGGGACAAGAGCATACTGAACCTTCATCATCTTATGTTGAACCTGAGATGTTAATCAGTGATGGTGAAACACATAAGAAGGTCAACTCTCTGAAAAGGTTTTGAGCTGTAAGTTCATCTTGTGCCAGGGTTGAAAACTCAGAGACTATGAGATAAAGGCATTCATGTGTGAAAGATCAGCCATTGGATCCTGAAAGTGGTAATTTGTCTACTTGGACTTGTCTCTGTATTGCATTCTGGATCATCAGAAGGATGTCCAACCTAAGTCATACCATTAAAGGTATACTCAATTATAAATTTAGTGTGTCAATTCGATTGAGGGTCCCTCATACTACATATTGATTCAGGCCTTCGTGGATATGTTCTCGAATTGTGACCTTGGGTTAGCACTCTTGTTATCTGATGAGTCAGTTAAGTAGATCACTGACTAAAATCATTGTCTTCGTCCATCTAACGGGTTTTCTTAAGTTTGTCTAAGCTGTCCAGGTTCTAAGCCCACTTGAATTGTGGCCCGATCAGATGTATCTCTTGGAGGGAAAATGCATATTTAGGGTTTGTCTCGGGGAGCACCAAACGTCACTTCACACTCTTTCTCAAACTCCCACAATCGTTTATCTCCCTTGAATCTTACTTCTCTCCAAAGCTCAACAATGAAGGCCTTGTTCTCCGGCTTATCTCGTCTGATTGGTACTCCTGCCCCGCAACTAATCGCGCCTGATCACTCGCTGCTTCCCTTGCTCGGAGACGGTCCGATGGAGCATGCAAACCCCGATGCCTTGGCTATTGTGTCATATGTTGGTTCATCTTCGGCTGACAACGAATCCGGACCTCCACCTGCCCCGCCAGCTCGAGTCGCTCACTCTGTGGCCAGATCCACGAACTCAGCCCCTTCGTCACCGGTCAGAAGCCGATCTTCATCTGTGGAATTTGTGTCTGCATCGGCTAAACCGCCCTCCTCGTCCTCTGCTCGGGGAACTCGCTGAAGCAAGCGGCATGTCAAAATCGAATCAGATCCATCGGAGCCTCCAAAGAAGAAGAACCGTCCTTCCAAGTCGAAGTCCTCCTTGGTGCTAGAGTTTGATGTTGGTCGCTTTGCATCCCAACGCATGAGCAATCGATTTGATCTGTTCCTGAACCGCAACTTTCTGGCAGAGCGTAAGGTGGATCTCAAGTCGCTTCCTTCTGGTGTTGAGGATGTCATTCGCGAGGTTGGTCTTATCTCCACCGTTTCTGGCATCAGTCGCTTCTCTCCGACGGCCATTAGGGAGTTCTGGGCTCATCTTCCCGATGACAAGGTCAACTCCGATGAGATCCGCATGGTTCTTCGTGGTCATGAGTATGTTTTCTCTCCTCGTCTGATAAATCAGCTCTTTGGACTTGAGCAGATGGCTACTGCTAGTGTTACTCTGGATGCTGAGATCCTCTCTGATGATCAGCTCGCACTCTTCATGAATGGTGGTAAGCACGGTGTGTGGGAGACTCTGACTCTTGCTCAATATCAGAGTGATAAGTGGGCGCTGTTTAAAATCAGCTGTCACAACTGGCTTCCCACTTTCAACACTGGGTTCTCCAACAAAGCTCGTGCTCGGATGGTTCATCGGGTTGCCACCAAGACTCCGTTTGATTTTGGCTCTATGGTGTTTGATCACATTCTCAGTCTCGGTCGCAATCCTGGATCCAAGTTTCTTCTTTTGTATTCGAGTCTGATCTACAAGCTCCAGCAGCAGCAATGCCCTGTGCCTCTCGAACCAGCTAATCGCATGGAAGTCATTCAGCCGTTTCGCATTGCTGCAACTCCGGCTTTGATCAAGGCGGAACCCAAACAGGAGGGACGTTCAGCTCATGTGGGCATGTCTCTCTCCTCTAATGATCGACGGGTTCTTACTCAGCCTGTCTTGATTATCAATCGCATTCTGCAAGGTAAGTACCTCTTCTCCTGGATCTGTTCCTTAGTGTGTCTTGATTTTTGACTTAGTTATGCACTTAAGCAGGGGGAGATGTAGCAGAGGAGGTTTCTCCAAGTGTGGGGGAGCAACCGTGATGGGGGAGTTTGGACTGATTTTTGTTTTTCAGTTTAAGTAGACTCAGGCTCAGGCCGCCGTAGTGCTTTCTTTTAATTTTAAGACTTTTGGTTGTTTTTGATGAGCGCATTGGACTTTTAAGTCGCTCTTGGTTTTTGAGTGCGGGCCTGTATTCTTAAGTACATTTTGGTTCTCTCAAATATTGTCTGAGCAGTTTGCTTCAAGTCTATTTGGTCTTTGCTTTGCGTGTGGTTGCTTGTTTGACTTTGCAAGTTAATTGATATGAATGCTGAAGTGACAAACTAAGTCAAAAAGGGGGAGATTGAAGATGTAAGTGACATCAGGAAGCAGCTCAAGAGGGACTGCAGGATGCTCGTAGCTGAGGATGCTTTTGCTGACGTGGAACTCAGCATATGGCGGTCAAAGGAGAAAGTCTCGAATTATACTTTGAGTATATTCGACAATCTAGGAAAAAGGAAAACTTGTTACAAACGGATTTGAAACTAGATTCTAGGGTTAGAGTCTTGGGTAGGTCGTATATAAAGGAAGCCGGGCAATCATTAAGAACATCTATGAGTTTCCATAGCAAATTAAAAGCAAGAAGGTTAATGTCCTCTTCCTTGATACACGAGCTGTGTGATCGTGTGAAGAGTGTTTTTAGAACTAGGAATCTTTGGAGGCAATCTAGGTTAGAGTTGCATAAATCCAAACAATTGTAATCAGGGCGATTAAATTGTTGATTCTAGTTTAATAAAACAAGCGTTGGACTTGGCGCTTTCCAAATTACTTTCTGTTGCCTGTTTTCTACACTTACAGAGTTTCTGCGGCAAGATCTAATCATCTAGCTCTCCATCTACTTCTTCTTTCAGCAGCATAACATAATTGAATATTGTATGTACATGTAAAATCATATATGTAAAACCAGGAATACTTGAAAGTAGCTAAGCAATTGGTGTAGGACAGAATTCAACCTGTAATTAAATAACTTTTTATTAGAAATTATTTAAACAATTTGTGAGAACTTGTTTAATTAGAATAATACATCCTTACAAGATCTCAACTGTAATATGACACTGACCAATTTCTAATCTACCCACACAGCAACAACTATGTTTGTTCAAATAGCTCCTAAACTATCTTCTGAGATAGAGTATTCTAACCCGTCTAAGTGCTAACCCTAACACCAACACAAGGATGTTGTACTCATCCTCTCATAGCCACGCCAAACTTGCCATGTATTGGATACACCACATATTCGCAAACCATCGAATATGACAACTTCTATATCTTTCTTGATTCCCACATATCTGGTTGTCAAGTCCCTTCTGTTTTTGAACCCTATATGTGTAACACACTTTCCAGATGTTCCACGATTCTTTTGCTTACAATATATACATAATTGCATGTTTATATAAAGAATCATTTATCATTTGGTCGATATCGCCAAGTGTGTCTTTGACTTTATCGATGTAACCATAGTTAGTGAATTGGTTTATCATAAAGCTCCTATTATTGGCTTCTCTCCTATATTGCATAGCAAGGGAGGCAATGTGATCTTCAAAGGGAATGAATTCTCGATAGTCTTTCACAGGTAAGAACGCATGATAAACATTTATTGAAAACAACTACAGATTGCTAGAGTAGAGAACAAATGAATCATAAGATAAGTGGGAGGATGAGGGACACTTCAAAGATCAGGTTTTGAAATGTATCTAAACTACTACAAATCCTTCAAGAAAATTAGGAAAACATTTCTGAACGGAAAATTAATAAAGGTTTTTAATGTTTAGTGAGATTATTTACTAACTTATGTAGAGCACATGTGGTATTTAATACGTAAATTCATGTGATCAAAGCACGAAATAAGTTTTTGAAAAAATATATTAGACAAACTTTTAATCAGGATGCAAAAAATGTTTAATCTCAAGAGATAAAAAAAAAAAGTTTGATCAGCCTATATAAAATTAGGTTACGTGGAACCTTTTAGATTTTCTAAAACTAAAAATTTGATAAAACTAAAATAATTAAATTAGAATTTTCGGAGTTGATCCTGAGTTTGATGAATTCATGGTATCTTTCTTGGATTTCGGATTTTGTTTTTATTTTTCTACTTAAAAACAAAAACTCTCTGGGGTTTGTGAGATGCCAAGAAACATGCTGTGATATATTGGTGAAATACAAATTGGATCTCGCGAGGCCGTTTGATGAAGGTATGACTTTCTTAAACAAAATCGAGTTGCAGCTACCGAACCTATGCACTGGTGTGGAGTCTGTTAAAAGAATTTGGAGTCTAAATCATATAATATATAAAAATTGATGGCATAGTGCATTGAAAGCGTCCATATGAGATTAAAAAACTCAATCTGATAAAATTAAAACTGATTAAATTAGAGTTTCTTTAAATTAACATGTAAGCTATCTTTTATGAAAAGATGATTTTTCAACTTTTATTTAAAACTATTTTATCAATGAATGTTAGTTATTATAAAATATAATGATATAAAATGTATACTTAATGAAAAAAAACTTGAATTTAATAAAAATAGTAGATAATGTATATATGAGCTAATGATGTGGCAGCGAGAGACTATTCTACTTTATATATATAGATACTTATAATGTTTCATGGAAATGACCTTTAGATTATATTGAAATTATACTACTTATCTAAGATAAACAACGAACAATGACGTTTAGTGATCTCATGCATCCACATTTTCACATATAGATACTTATATTGTTTCATGGAAATGACCTTTAGATTATATTGAAATTATACTACTTATCTAAGATAAACAACGAACAATGACGTTTAGTGATCTCATGCATCCACATTTTCACATATAGATACTTATATTGTTTCATGGAAATGACCTTTAGATTATATTGAAATTATACTACTTATCTATGATAAACAACGAACAATGACGTTTAGTGATCTCATGCATCCACAATTTCATGCGACTCTAACTAAATCTCCTTCTATAGCATGTGAATCAATTCACTAAAAGGCACTAAGCCGGCATCTAGAGGGGCTTCTGGCAAGTGATGATGCCAAACTTAATAACACCTTTTTTGTATCCCTCGATCATCAATGGCATCGTCAACGCTCCTTTAATACTCTTCATGCCTATGTAAATTTCAACCCTCACAAGTCTTAGTTCAAAATCTTGAAACACTTAGAATCATGAATGTAAACAACATTGCGAAAACATACCACTACGAAGCAGAGACACAAGGCCTTTCCACGTTAACGCGGTTCTTATAACCGCCGGCCAGAAAGGAGCTACGTTCTCTGACCAATCAGCACACTTAATATCCTACAAGCAAACATATATTTGAGACTAATTAAACTAACTCTTAAGTACTGATTTTGGCAGAAAATTAAGGTGAGAAATATAGTAACTTGGAGAGAGTGGGACTGAAGCAATTGGACATAATCAGAGGTGGAGCACCAGGCTGGTAGATAAAATGTCTTGCAGATTTTGTTCAAGAGGTCTTGCTCCCATGGCTGCAAAGTTTCTTCTACTTGGGATAGATTTCTGTGGCACCATGTCACTATTATTATCCTTCCTCCTGGAGCTGCCACGCGTACCAATTCCTTCACGAACTTCACTCATTTCGCGCACACAATAAATCATTAGTTATCTTATAAACCTATTTTCAGAACTATCACACTTAAATTTTGTTTTTTTGATAAAACACAACAAATCTTCCCAAATGTTTTAGCCAAAAAGCTACACAGCATAATTTTTTTTATTTGTTAATCGGAGGAATCTCATACCAAAACCCAGACTAATCCTCTGATTACTATAAATTCTGCATTTTGTTGCCACTAAAAACTTTTACATGTGTCGAAGGATGATTTCGCATTCAAAAGGCTAGAATTCTACCAAACAAAGGCATTCAGTAGTGAAAACTTTCAACCACTGGACCATTATCACTTGATTTTACATGACATAATTGTATTTGATCATTTTCAGAACACTTTATTTTACTGTCATTTTCTATAGTCGACAGAAATAATTTTTAAAGATAATTGTTTAATAATAATATTTAGTATAAAAAATAACTGAAAAATGGATATGACAATATTATTAGATAACTTTGACAATTTTTCACTCTCCTAAAATCTTTGTTTTCGTATATATATTGAAAAGATGATAGTACTATAATAAAAATTATAGTAACTTTCACCCATTATAAAACGTTTTTACTACTGAGAGTAATACCTTCACCTTATCAGGCATATGCTCACCGCTCTCCATTGACCACACCAGATCAAATTTCCCGTCTTCAAATGGCTGCTCCAACGCATCTGCGACTTGGAAGGAAACCTGGTCCAATGTCGTCACAGTTGGATGAGATTCCACACACAAAAAAGGTCGATGGTACAAGAAAATACCTTATGAGAGAGTGATTGAGCAGCGGCGAGATCATTGGCTCTCTTGGCCTGAAAGGGGCTGAGAGTAATGCCAATGCATTCAGCTCCAAATTTAGAGGCAAGATACCTTGAGCTTCCTCCAATCCCACACCCAACATCCACTACTCTTTTTATCCTTTTCTCATCTTCTTCTGCAGTTTTTCAATCACAATCATTTAAGTGGAATCAAATCAAGTTCATGTGGTTTTTTTTTGTGTGCAAATATCAAGTTCATGTGGTTAAGTTATATAATAACGTCAACAACAATCACATAGACAGATAGTTTACGGGATGCAGATTATTTATTCAGTTCAAATTTCCATTTAGAAGTAGTAAGATAGTTTCTTGAAAAAATTAGACTCAGGAGTTTATTATATTCACCTAAAAACCCTATTCAAAGTTGATTATTATAATATAATTGTTCTTGACCAAAACAAAAAGAAAACAATATATTTGTTATTTTTACAGTTTATGTATTTGATTAAGCTTACAATCACCTGTTGACTCATATGTAAAAAGAGAGACTAGATTTACATCTTTCTAAAATCTAAATCCTTATAACTCTTTCTAAATATCAAAACCAATAACACCCACTTAATAAAGGATTCGTAAAAGTTAGGAATGAGCCTTTTGCTTTTAGAAGGAACATGGCTAAACACAGCCTTACATGGTCTATTGCTTTAACCATTAATTACATTATATGAGTATGACTACAAAAAAATCCCCAGTCATTTCTCTAAAATAGAGAAAATCTTTATCTGGACAAAATTTTATATTTTCAAAGATTTCATTATGTGTGTAGGAAATTCTTTAAATTTTACATTTTTCTCCGTTAATTAACTGTATTTTCTTCCAATAACAAACAGTGCATGTATCTAACTAAGTGTATAAACAAACAAAATAAGCGCAATGGATTAAGAAGCACACCAGTAACACCGGCAAAACGGATAGACTCTTCAATCATTCGGATCTGAGCTTCCCGGTGACCGGAATCAGAGAGTTGAACGGAAGAATCAGGATCGTAGAACCCATGATGCATATGATCTCCCCAAATCTCCTCCCACAATCCGGACGTCTCGTTGTAGAATTCCGCAATTCCTTCTCGCAACGCCTCCACAGAGGAAGTAGCGGTAGCCGTCACAGCCACGCTCCCACGCGCGGCTGTCGTCATAGAAGCTGAGGATGGTCGGAGAGAACGAAGGAGAAGCGACGGTGGGTGGAAAGAAGAGACTTTGCGATGGGGACGGCATGTGAGAGAGGAAGCTGCGAGTGTCGCTTTCATTTATAATTGAGGATGGAGAAACAAGAAGTGTTGATGTGTAAGGGATACGTTCTTCTTTTTTTAATTGATATTCGTCCAGGCTCAATCCTTTTTATTTTATTTTGATATTATATAACCTTGATGGTACCGTTCGAGTTAGAGCCACAATTTTTTGAGGCCATATGTATTTTCATATGTATATATTATAATTTCAGTTTAATTTTTTTTTTTGTAATTTGAGTAAATTGGTAAATAATACATATTTTATTTAAAATTTTTATTTGCAAAAATAATTTCAAAAACTTGAAAAACTTTTTATATTATCAAAATAGAATAGACCACACTTAGTTAAATGAACAGGTGTAATGAATCATAAATTATTTCTCACTTTATTTTTTTGTATTAAAGAGCGAAATACTTTTTATTATTTACATGTAAAAATTAAGAAAAAAATGAGATGTATATAAAAAATATTTTCATTGAAGTGAAAAACACTATCTCTTGCTGATAAAAAAATTGATTAAATAATAAGAAAGAAAAGCAAAACAATCTTTTATTTGAGAAATTTTGACAAAATTATATGTTCATTAATAATTATATATTTTTTATAATTTAAAATTTAATTATATAAATAAATTATATTAATATTTAATATATTAAATATTTGAAGGATTTGAAAATATTTGATGTGGATATACATCTTATTTTAGATGTTGGAAGCTATATAAAAGCTAATTTGGAGTTAAACATGATAATAGTTGAGGAACAAAGGAACGTTAAAGCTATTTTTAAAAGAGTTAAACTTAACAATAAAACACTGTTGTTTTATACATTAAGAAGGACGTTCTCATCAAGCCAAATCATGGCTGGTCCAATTTAATTCATAAAAAGACCAAACCAAACCACTAGAACCACCAAATCACATGAATGGGCCAACATTCATATTTTCAAGATCATTTATGGAAATCAGGAGCTGCAAGACATTATATTCGACCAACACAAAAGATATACAAGCTCAAACTCAAGCCAATAACCGGAGCCACTCAATTCAGACCAAAGAAGAACCACTCATTTACATATATGGACTTACATGTGCATCAATAGAGCCATACAAGGAAACCTTGAATATATGTCATGCCAAAACATTATATTCGCATTCCCTCACGTCCACATAAGCTTACAAGAGTCCCACACCACCAGATCAAGTCAACATTTGTCCCATTTAATCAGAAGTCAAAGAAGATTGCACCAAGAAGAAGCTTTCTTTTCTTGGAACCAATTATCTTGCTTTAAGGATAAATGAAAACCAAAGACCATATCTCCTAACTAATCTCGACCCTACATTCAAAAGAGGATATCATGATCATTCAAACCATTCTGAAAACTCAAGATTCATCCCCCCCCCCCCCCCCCCCCCCCCCCCCCCCCCTTTAAGCCCTTAAATCAAGCATCTTCACAAATCAAGCATTTTCCCCTCTATTAAGTCAAATGACTAGTATTTTGTTACACCAGATTTTATGCTTTACTTTTATTACTTGTGACCGTTTTATGTCTTTATTTGGAGCATTATATAAGCTCTTGAACATTGTACTTTGACATTCACCAAGAAATTATTAAAAAAACCCCTTTTGTTGTTTAATAAAGAGTTTTTTTTTTAAACACTGTTCTTACAAGTTATCTAAACATTTTGTGGAATCAAAGCTTGAAACTCTTGTGGAGAGTCTAGTTCTTCATGGGAGGAAGAGCCTTTGAAAGCTAGAATCTTAAAACCGTGCTTGTGCAATCAGGCACACTTGTTACTTCACCATTCAATCATCTCCACCCCTTTGGTTTGAAAGTTTGATTTAAGTGTATTAGAAATTGGTGAAATCCATTCTTCCATCAGTATCTCTTTTAAATACTGTTCTTACAAGTTTTCTAAGCATTTTGTGAAATCAAAGCTTAAAACTCTTGTGGACAGTCTAGTTATTCATGTGAGGAAGAGCCTTTGAAAACTAGAATCTCAAAACTATGCTTGTGGAATCAGGCACACTTGTTACTTCAATCATCTCCACTCCTTTGGCTTGAAAGTTTAATCCAAGTGTATCACGAATTGGTGAAATCCATTCTTCCATCAGTATTCAAAGTGATATGAGTGCTCTAAAATTTTAAAAATATTTTATTTTCAATATACACAGTCCATGACTGAAGATTTGTAAGAAGATTTGTAACAAATTTTATTCTTTATTTATATTATTTGTGAACGTTTTATGTCTTTATTTGGAGCATTATATAAGCTCTTGAACATTGTATTTTGACATTCACCAAGAAATTATTAAAAAAAAAACCCCTTTTGTTGTTTAATAAAGAATATCTTTTTAAAACACTGTTCTTACAACTTATCTAAGCATTTTGTGGAATCAAAGCTTGAAACTCTTGTGGAGAGTCTAGTTGTTCATGGGAGGAAGAGCCTTTGAAAGCTAGAATCTTAAAACCGTGCTTGTGCAATCAGGCACACTTGTTACTTCACCATTCAATCATCTCCACCCCTTTGGCTTGAAAGTTTGATTTAAGTGTATTAGAAATTGGTGAAATCCATTCTTCCATCAGTATCTCTTTTAAATACTGTTCTTACAAGTTTTCTAAGCATTTTGTGAAATCAAAGCTTGAAACTCTTGTGGACAGTCTAGTTATTCATGTGAGGAAGAGCCTTTGAAAACTAGAATCTCAAAACTATGCTTGTGGAATCAGGCACACTTGTTACTTCAATCATCTTCACTCATTTGGCTTGAAAGTTTAATCCAAGTGTATCACGAATTGGTGAAATCCATTCTTCCATCAGTATTCAAAGTGATGTGAGTGCTCTAAAATTTTTAAAATATTTTATTTTCAATATACACAGTCCATGACTGAAGATTTGTAAGAATATTTATTAAAACTAGGTATTTACCTGCGCTATGCTGCGGGATATTTTTCTAAATTTTGTATATATTTTTAATATAATAAAATTATTTTTATAATTTAAATGAGTATTATATTTATTTTTTATAGGTTAAGTTATATATTTATATGTTTTAAATCTGAATAAACATTACATATATATATATATATATATATTTTTTTTTTTTCAAAATTATAACAATTTCTCGATTTTTGTAAGAAGATAAAAGTTCTTGCTAAATTTCCAAGTTAAAATATGTTTACAGTAACCAAAGTTTAATTATTTAACTTTAACTAAAACGATATTTTAAGAGTTCAAACATAATTTTCTATTTAGTTCTAAAGCAATAGCAATGGTTTTGATATGAATGTTATTGATTATAGTTTGGTAGTTTTAGAAACCTATGTTTATAATAAAATATTTGATAAATAAATAAATTTTATAATTCAAAATAATCATATTAATTAATAAATCTTTTTTAAATGGCATTTTTCTTTATATAATTACAAAGGAGGATCAAGTGGTAATTTATTGGAGAAAATATATTACATTTGCTATTAGCATGAAGGTACTAAAAATGTATTGCTTTATTCGTATATATTTTATTCATATATATACATTTATAATTAGTTAGCTAACTAAATTTAATAAAAAATGCATTTTCCGTCATAACAAAAAAAACTTCATTTTCTCATTAAACTGAGAAATCGCCTATTCCTGCTAAAACCAAAAAATTTATTTTCTCGTCAAACCTAAAACCTAAAATTTTATTTTCCCGCGAGAACCTGTGTTTTTTCACCAAAGCCGAGAAATTACGTTTTTTCACAAAAACAAAAAATTTCATCTTCTTCCAAAAACCAAAAAAAATTGTATTTTCCCTCCAAAATCAAAAAAATTATTTTTCCTGCGAAAACTGAGAAATCGTCTATTCTTGCCAAAAAAAATCATATTCTCGTCAAGCCCAGAATCACGCTTTCCTACAAAAACAAATAGACTACAATTTTCCACGAAAACCAAAAATTACATTATCTCTCGTGAAATTATGTTTTCACGTGAAAACTAAGAAATTATTATGTTTTATCGGTTCAAATTTTTGCTGATGTGTGAGCTTCTTATAACATAAGACTTTTTGCGTTGTTGTCATGGAAGCATAGTTGATGTTGAGCCTACACTTTTTCAATCATATATGTCTATGTCAAACAAACAGATAGCTAGAATTGTTTTATTATTTATTTGTTGTTATTTATTATTTGGATTTGATTTTGACAAAAAAATAGAAAATAATGATTTTTTTATTTGCTGTTATTAATTATTTGAGCTTGAGTTTGGTAAAAAAATAAAACAAAAATTAATAAAAAAAAATATTTGGATTTGTAATGAGTTTAAGTTTAAAAATTAAAATAAGTAGATGATATGTATTAATAAAATGTTTTGATTGGTGATTATTTTTGCTGAGGTGTCATGTTTATAAAGCTTCAAAAAACTTAGGTATCAAGCCATGGAGAGATTTTAGTGTTATTGTTGTGTTGATTGATGAATAAATATATTAATTCTGAGGAAAAGTAATAAAATGCAAAGTAACTCATTGATTATATTAATACAAGGTGATGTTCGATAACTTTTTTGTTGACTAGTTCAGCGACAAACAAAAAACTAACATTAAGTTCTCTAACATATATTGTTGATGAAGATTGCAGGCAGAGTGTTCAAGTATGAAGATTTCCTGCCAATATATAAATGTATATAAATAGTTATAAATTACGCGATAACATTGTCGCTACATAAACATGGCTAAAATTATGGCAGATAATCCACACAATAGTAGTAAACAATGACTATATAGTCTGTAAATAACTATTAACAAGACTGTAATATGAAATAATACATAATCAAATACGAGTATTCAAAGATCAATGGGTAAACATTGATCAAGTTAGTATGCTAATAGCAAAGCTAAGTATGAAAGTGGAGACATTTGTTATCACGTAGCTACAATACCAACCTTATTTGTTATCTTTTATACATAATCATGTTCCTAATACTATATTAATGCGATAGCAATTGAGGTAATACGCAAAATAAAAACTGAGAGAAGTGATGACGAAGACAGATTGCCGGTCCGATAGTTTTAGATGTTCTATTCGAATTTAAAAAATATGCCTTTTTTATATATTATATTTAATATCATAAAAACTAAAAAATAAACTATAGTTAAAATTTCATAAAAAATCTACTTCCAAACAAACAATCTCAGTTCATTAA